ACATATACGTTGCTACATAGATAAATATTTGGAATTAGTAGGCAATCGTGACTAAAATCGTATGGTATAACAAATGTACTTTTTATCTGATGTTAATAACCATGATTAGCTTTAGCTTCGATTATTAAAACTTGGAATACTCTTTAATTAATGTAATTATGCGTTACAGTCAGTTTTACTGGTTTGTTTCATAAGAAGACCTCTGGATTCTTTAAATCACAGACTGAATTGTAATGATATTTCATGAGCAGTAGACTATTTTTTTTGTAAACTTCAGATTCTGATTAATCCAATTGAATTTTCTACGTCTTGAACCGACGGTTTAAGAAATTGATATTCCGACTTTAATATTCGAAGTAAGCAAATCTGGTGTAACAAAAAAATGATTAAAAATAGAGACATTTTCTAAAAAAAGTAATTGTTTAAAATAAAGATGTCAGAACAGTTCTTAAAATGTATCAAGTTATAAAATTTTTGAATTCCCTAAATAACCTCAAACTATTTTCAGATTGTTTAATAGATTCTAATGCAATGAGAAAAAGTATTTTTTTTATATTTTGTAATATAAATATTCATAGTGACAAGTAGGATTTTTTTTTGAGTAAGGTGATCAACGTTTGGGAATAAATAGCAAGTTCAATAAGCTGATCAAGTAACATTCTGAAAAAGAGTTTTTTTTTATCTATATTTATTTTACAAAACTCGATGATAATTATCAATTGTATATGTAGATACCAAATAAGTGTTCTTTACACAATCTTGAAGATTTACAATTTAAAAAGTGTCCACCTATTTTACTTTCCTTCCGCGTCAAAATTTTCTAAAATGGACCTACTTGACACTCTATTAAAAATCAGTAATTAAAAATAACTATCACTCTTTAAAGTGTATCATTAACATTTTTCCTTGACTGTAACATTAAACATTACTTCTTTTTGCTATTTTATTTGCAAAGGAAATAGAAAAGAAGCATGAGCAAAAATACAATGTATGACGATTGATTTCTGTGATTTCCTATAAAAATATAAATTCCAAATGTGCTTGGAACAAGATTTTTATGCTTGGATTTTAATTTTGAAAAATACTATTTAAAAAAGTCGAATTATTCTTGATTGAATACATCTTAACGCGTCTATCCATTACTTTCTATTTCTATTCATTGTAAATTGCAACATTGGTACAATATTGTTTATCTTCTTGCGGTTTACGTATGTCATACTAGCAATTTGAGTAAAGTTACCATTGAAAATAGACGATACAACACATCTGTCTTGATTTACAATCATGAACACAAATAGAAAATACGAATATTGGACAGATATAATAACCAAAGTGTCTTCAATCGTCACTGTTCTTAGTTCGCAAATACTTGAAATTGTATTTCTGAAAAGAAACTCTTTACAAAAAATTAAATTTCAAGTTTCCGATTTATAGCGAGGAACGAAAGCATTCATACGGTAAGATTATCAAAATACAAAGCGTTACATTTTCTATGTTACCAGTTACATTCGGTATAACATTAGTACATAGTAACAAATTTGTACTAGCGTAAATATATACATAGTACAAATTTGAACTATGTATATGTATATGGATATATACTATCAATGCCTCGATAAATTAAAATGATAATATAGAAAATATAGCTATTTTTATTTACATATTTTTGCTGAATAAACTAAATTGTCTTTTAGTTGTAGTCCTAGATAAATAGTCATCTTCTGTATTATTCTATCATCACAGCTTCTTACTTTATACAGAATGAACTGTAATATGTGGCACAGTTGAGGAAAAGGCTACTTTACGTATAAAAACAAACGGAAAATGTAGAATAAAGTTGTTTTGAATGGAACTTGCATTTCAAGAAAATTGAATGAAAAAAATTATCGGATACGCTTGTTTTTGAATATGAATGTTTAATCTATCTGTTTGTTATTTGTTATTTCTACTTGTAATATGTGAATCGCGTTATGCTAGTATTTTTCCATTTCTATTAAAGCTTTTTGTTGTAACAATTATTATTAATGTACTGAGCAAAATAGATAATACCATATCACGGTTAATGTTTACACGCGTTAACACAAATTGAAATAATTATTAATCGAATGTCAACAGGTACCGTACTTATTGTTTACCATAAATACACGTTTATGAATTTACATGAAACACGATTGTTTAAAACTCAACATAGTTAGACCAATAAAGTTTAATAAAATATTATTCTTCGTAAGGAATTAGAATTCCTTTATAAAGAAACGTTCAACAAGGTAAATAAATTTCTGTGCAAGTTCAATTTGTATAAATTGATCTGCAGAAACTTATTTTTGCATAAACATCCCCAGTCTGGTCATAAGTGTATTCGATAAATTTTCAAACTTAATTTCCTTGAAAACGATGTTCCATATGAGACAAATATTATTCGACGTTTTCTATTTGTTGGTGTACATAGAACCATGTCATTTCCTGTTGTCCCACGAATTATGACCGGTTCTGTATACTAACTATCCACAACAAAAGTGATCGATACGTAATTCCTCTGCACAAAATATAGGAACATGCACATAACCCTTATCGGTTGTATGTCACCCCTGACGTGTGACATTACGATTTTACCCTGTAAGTCGTATGTCACGTGATATGTAACAAGACGTGAAGAAGATGAAACGTTCTAACTCCGATTACTATCAATGCCAAGTTACACGACCGGTCTAAAGTTTGGGTATACCTATATAATGCATTGGCATTTTACACCCAAGTACAAACTACTGGATTCAATACGGTGTCATGTCTCGATCTTTAGACATTCCTTGTATAATTTTACTGTCATAAAAACACGGCTCTAGTCATCCATTCTTTTGTGACATTTTTTCTCTCGTGATTGCGAGCTTTACTCTGTATTTTGACAACTAAAACTGCCAATTTCTTGCCATATATTTGAACTTTAACCATACCAGAGCTATACAATCAACTCAGACATCAACAATTCGCTTCGTAGAATGTCGCAAACTAATGAACAACGGCAAAGCTGAATGTCTCAGTCACAAAAATATGACCTCACAAAACAGTATTAATTGCCACAAAAGTCTATTACCTCCAGTTGAAGGAAAGCTGTGTGTTTTTATAACAATAAAATTATAGAAAGATTGCCCAAGGATTAAGACATGACGAAATATTAAACCGTACAGTTTGTAGTTGGGTGTAGAATACAAATGCAGTAGGAGTACCTAAACTTTTAGCCGGTAGTGTAGAAAGGGTGAGTCATTTAAGAGAAGCCACCTGAATAACTTCTACAATTTCGGAGGTAGAAAGAAATGTTTCATAGAAGAGTTGTTTTGGTTCCTAGAGGGCCATTAAGTGGTAAACAAAACTTTTTTCCCAGTGGAGGTGTTTAGGAGATTTCCAGGTCACCTTGAATTGATTAACCCTTTTTTATGTCCATGACCTTGAATGACCTTCAGTGACTACGGTCCTCGAAATCTTCTTGATAAATGCGCTATAATCGTAGGTGTTTCAAAGTACATGATTCCAGTTCAAAAAGTCAAGTTGATCTTGAAATCTCCTAAGCACTTTCTAAATAGCTTCTGATTCGAACATTTCTTCATATCTGAAAAATTGTAGAAGCTATTCAGGTGATTTTGTTATAGGTGACTCTTCATGTATACAAAACACCAACGCCCGAGAAGGGTTGAGTGTTAAAGGGTTATGCCTACCAATAAATTTTGAAAAAATTGATTTGGGGTTTTAATATTTTCTTATCGTACATGATTTTTGAAATATTGTGTGAAAGTTTGAAGTTGATCCGACCAAAATTGGCGGAGTTACGCCCGTTTAAAGTATACGGCCTGGGAAGTTTGGGAGCAAATATAAAGTAGTAGAATCCCTTTCTAAGGGTGCGTGAGTCATGAATACTGTGTCCTAATGCAATTTATGGTTGTGTTAGTAAATACACAAGGTTATATGAAACCGTAATACTAAGAATAACAATATATACAAAATTTGCATTGATTCGGTTGTAAACCTGACTTGACACTTTAAACGTGTTTTTCTCAAAACCATATTTTCAAAATCTGTGACCAAAATATCTCGAGAACCGCTGCACCGAACTGATTCAGCTTTGGTGAACTCATTCTATACATAAAAATCTAGTGCCCGATCGTGGCATTTTGTATTTCACTGCGTAGTTTTTATTTTATAGATAAAAAATGAACGATTCTTTTGGCGAAAATCGATACTTCGATTTTGAACAGCCGTCATTTTGTCGTAAATTAATTTTTCAGGATAATGAACGATCGGGCGCTGGATAATTTAATATATTAACTAAATTTGCTCGGATTTTTTATTTTAGATAAACGAACTCGAAGTTACAGTGGTCACCGCAAAACGTCTAAAATAAAAACGCCGACGGGAGATCGCTGATATTTCCCCTATTTATTCATATTTTGCATTGAAGAAATTACTATAAGCACTTTAAAATGTACACTTTCGAATACAATGACGTATGTTTAAAAACGTCAAGTTTTTTAAAAATGAAATTCGAAAGTACATGTCTTTTTTCGAGCTCGCGGGTAGGCATGACCCCTTAAATGGCTCGATCAGATTCGTCACTGTTTCAATTCTCCCGCTTACTGTTCCAGTGGCAAACCTTGGAAAAACTCCGTCGACAAAAAAATCGTCCGCTGAAAAGGTAGCAAGACACGTGTTTCCGTCGCGTAAATGCATTTATGTACCGCGCGATAGCAATGCCCCCCGCCCCAGGCGTGTCAGTAAGACAGCACCTAACGGTCGTGTCGATAAAATAGCAACCGTTCGCGGCGTGAGTACGGCGTTTTCAACGCGAACGTTTCACATGTGGGATATTCTCTAACCTGCTGAAGATGTCCTTGAGTTCGTGCTCAGAAACGAACTGGCCCAGGTTCGCCACAAAGAGGGTAGAACACGGTGCGTTGCTGACGGCTATGTTCGGCTGGGATGAAGGCGAGCCAACCGGTGATGCCAGTGCCGGCGAGGGTAAGAAATGGGGTAGCGACGCGTGTATCGACGTCAGCGTCGTAGGATGCGGCAGAGACATCGGCGCCTGAAATAGAAATAACGAGACTTTTTTTATCGTCGTCATTCTCACCGTTCCGCTTCAGTCGGAAGAGACGTTACAATATTAGATCTGACGGAAAGTTCCGTTGCTTGTTCGTCTGGTGTTTCGACGGGCTCGATAGACAACTTTGATGTTGGAAGTTATTGTTCGGCTGCTGTGAAAGGCGGGGGCATGGTCACGAAGGATAATAACGAAGTGAGGTTTTAGTAACTGTTGAGGATTTCGAGTTTGTAATGATGTTCTTTTGGAAGTAATACTATCATTGGCAAAAAATATTCGTTTAAACTATATCCGTCTATAACTGAATGATGTTATTCCGTCTTGTGTAGGTAAATTTAGCCGAGTCTTCGGGACTTTTACTTTCAAAAATTTGCAAATTTAATTACTTATCTTGTCATTACATTAATTTTTTACCACTGTGTTCCTTTGACAGCGAGGGACAAATTATGTGGGGAAAATGAGGAACGGATGAGGGTTAAAGGCGTGTACGTAACGACTAGACTGAGCATTCTATGCACTTATCAAATGTACAATCATCTAATATTCAGTATAGTAAAAAGTTACAGAAAGTTTCCTCGAGTTTTCTCTTTACTTTTATTCCACTGAAACCCTTAACGCGGTGAATAAATTTTTCTTTGCGTCGACTTTCGGGTAGTTAATCCATGAAATTCTAAATTTGCATAAACATCCGCAAATATGCATAAACAACTGTAGAATATATTTACACATATACTAAACATAGAAAATGTTTTATATACATATAGGTAACACTGTTTAAAGAAAAATTATCCTATAGTTTTGTCAGTATTGCAGTTAGCTTCATCAGGGGGTCAAATGACACACTGATACAGTATCGGTGAATCCAGACTGTGGCTGGTGGAACATTGGGATAACTCTGTCAAAAGGACACCGCTTACACTCGAATTCCTCGATAGTAACTATTCTACATATAAAGAGTAGTAACCATTACTTCTCAAATTAATCGACAATAAACACATGTTGATAAAAATTAAATAAAAGGAACTAAAACTAGAGAACCTCCCTTCAGATCTAATAGATACTCTCGGTGATATAAATGTGGTGACACTCTTAGAATTCTGTTAAATAACCTGGTAATCGATGCATTTGGTAAATATAAGTTATCAAATATGTTATTTGCTATTGAAAAGTCATGTTTTGCTTATACAGTAGAAGCTCGGTTATTGCAGCGTTCGGGGTTGTAGAGGGCAAAATTTCGAGGAATACTGCATTAAGCAAACTCCAATCACCCGCGCGCTCTCCCCGCCAATCGCCCGTTCACTTGGTCGATGTAGCTACATCTAGGATGGGCTGGATATACACACTGTCGATCCCTGTGGACCGGGGAATAGAGAATACGGCCACGGTAATCCCTGCCTGTCGTAAGAGGCGACTAAAAGGGAGAGGCGGAGACCGCGGGACTGTAGCACCCGCGGTCCAAAGGGGGGGGGGGCGGGGCTTATTGCCTCCCCCCCCCCACCTGAGAGGGCGCTCCGTCATGAACACCTTTGACGGAGCCGGCGCTGGGGAGGTACCGGTAGCGTTCGAAAGAGATCCCGGTACCTCCCCGTACAGCGCCGAGCCCGGCCACCGTGAGGTTTTAGTGGGTATTCCTCCTGGGCATCCAGCCCGGGGGGCGAGTCCCCCCCTCCCCCCGCCCCCCCCCCTCGGGGGTGGTGCGGGGGTGTGCGTAATGCATTTCCTCACGTTAAAAAAAAAAAAAAAAAAAAAAAAGGATATACACACTGTTCGATCACCATTATCACCATTACTATCTCCGTTATTTTCAGAGATAACCAAAAATTTATTCACGGAAGTTATTGAGCACTGAAACATTGTATTAAAACAATATTATATATACCGCACTTTCTGGGACAAAAAATATGCGAATTAAACGCGACACCGTATGTACTCTGTTCCTTTCTTGCTGGGCGACAGAGTGGGGTGTGCGCACGTGTATGAGAAGTACGTGTGAGCGAAGGGCGTTCCTATGTTACAATAAAATGGCCTGCAATAAACCAGCTCCTATTGTAGTAATTAGTGTTAGATATGTGTAAAAGTAATGACCATCGCTTTAGGTTAGCATTGTGGCCGTCTTCTATTTTATCGATGGGAAATTCAACTTTTGCTAGAACAATGGCAAAAGGTTATAGAAAATGAGGTTAATTGTAGAAAATAACAGATGCTGCAGCAATTGTTCTATATTGAAACATTTCAATGGGAAAATGGCCACTGCTCAATGCATACACCTAAACCTAAGAGATTTCGGTTAGACAACAGAACAGTGTTTGCTAGTTTTATCGCTTGCTAATTAGAGGGAACCAATCGTTAGGGTTCAAGAAGGATCAGTCTAGGTTTGTTGTTGAACTACTGACCTTCGACTGGCAAGAGTTCTATCGATGCACTCTTGGTCCAGCATTCAACACAGTTTATTTGTATAAATATATTAATATACTTGTATTAATATATACACCATAATATTATGATGAGAAATTAACACTTTGCCTAGTTTGAAATTTTTAAAATGGTTTTCTTCTTACAATGATTTCTTTTTCTTTTATTATAAGAATCATTTTTATACTTAAATCTTACATAATTTAAAACAGAATTTAAGAATAAGAATAAATCCATCTTTTTAAGATAGATTCAATGACTGCTAGGATGGGTTCGAAAATATTTGGTTAGTGAGCATGACACGTAAATATATGTATAGGGTGTTTCATTTAACTGGGAACGGTGGAATATCTCACGAAGGTTTAAAGTTATCAAAAAAATGTTCGTACAAAAGTTGTTTGGTACAAAGGCAGACATTCCGTGGTATACATAATTTTTCTATAAGTGTAGTAGTGGGGGAGATATCAAAGTCAAGTTAATTTTTTTAAATGGAACTCTGTATCTTTTTATTTATATTATGATAGTGTTTGTTGAGACGAATGCAATGAACTGTCACATGATATCATTCCCTGTAGTAGGAAGTGATAAATTAGTAAGATTTTAAGATGATTTACGAAACAGGATTATAGTCGCATGCGAAAGAATAACGGACAAAATGTTGAAACGTGTCGAAAGAAAATTTTTAAACAGAATAGAAACGTGTATTTTTAACGATGGTGTGCATGTTGAAGGATAAATGACGTAAAAACTTATTAATTACTTCTTGATACTACAAGTTAGATAATGGTAAGTGAAATTTAAAATCCATTATTTATGCTTAACTCCTCATATTTGCTACAATATTGGTGTTGTTTCCATACCAGGAATATTTTATTAAAAACGGAACAATCGGTCTGGTACGAGTAGATGGCGCAGTCACGTAGAGTTCAGCTGACCGACGACACACGATCCGTGTTGATCTGACTACATTGTATTTAATTTATGATATTTTACAACTCGGAATGATATCATGTGGCAGTTCGTTGTATACGTCTCAACAAACACTATCATAATATGAATAAAAAAATACAGGGTTCCATTTTAAAAAATTAACTTGACTTTGATATCTCCCCCACTACTACGCTTATAGAAAAATTATGTATACCACGTAATGCCCCCCTTTGTACCAAACAACTTTTGTCTGAACATTCTTTTGATAACTTTAATCCTTCGTGAGATATTCCACCGTTTCCAGTTAAACGAAACACTCTGTATATTACTGTTACTAAACGCATTGGCGATCGATAAAGTTTTACTAAAATTTGCTATACTTACAAAAAAAATATCATGTGTAACAAAGCCAATAATATTCGAAAATGCAGTTGATGATAATACATTGAACCCATATTACAAAAAAAAAATATTTGTATGCAAAGTAAAATACTGTTATCTAGGAAATAATAAATAAATTATACACGCGCCTGAAAACGAGATTTCTCGTTTTCGGTAGTCAACGCATTTAGCATGAAAACGAGATTTCTCGTTACTGGTCGCGAATTTGTTAATAGTATATGTATACTGTTATATGCTTGATAATCTACATTACCTTCATGATCCAATTAATTATTAAATTTAGTTTGCATCTGAACTCATTTTCAATTAAAATTCCTCGATGAACAAAACACATGTTATCGTAGACATGTTGTAAATAATATGAAAACTTAAAATTTCATTCTCGAATGTCTTATTTCTTTATTATTTTAAATTAGGTTCACGACCGAGATGAAGAAGAAAATCTTATTCTCTATACGCACTACGGGAGCCTCACTGTTGGGATTCCCGCACAACGGGGATCAATGTTATGTATTATCCACTTTGTTTATTTGTGTAACAACTTAGAATCCAGCGGAATCTTTTTAAATTACACATGAGGATTAGAAAATAATAATGTGTTCGGGAAGTTACAGCCTTAAGCATAGATTCTCACTGTTCGCTAATGCAACCGGTTGCTAGCCCTTATTGAAATATTCTGCAAAAGATCTGCTGGACGGACGGCGTGAATGTTATGAAATCAGTTGTACCATATTTTGGTTGATACTAGGAATACGGTTTTAACCAAACAAGAAAATAAAAAAGTACATATCATATTAACGTTCCCCAGAAATTATTTCGTACTTCGATATATATTAGTTTATTAAATTATAAATTTAAATTTTTATTAGTTTAAATTATAATAGAAAACGATGTCATCGTTATCGATGGTTTCCTGACATTGTTCTACACTCAATTTTATTTCTTTACTGACCAAAAAAATGACTAGAAAAAGTGACAAGAGAAAGGAGACTGTGCAGTTTTTTCTGGGACACTCAAACATGTACAAAATTGTCGAAGGACTAATAAAGATTATAGAAAATTTGGAATTCCAGAAATCTTGTTAGGAAATTCATAAATAGAATTTCACGAAAAAGGGTCAAGTTTACGTACGCCGAATACGTCGATAAAAAGTGTAAAATTGTTCATATCATATGATATGATTTGTACTCTTCTCAATCTATGAATCGTCAATAAAAGTTACCTCTATTTCATAATTTATG